CTTTGGGAGGTCAAGGTGGGCAAATCGCTTGAGCCCAGATGTTCAAGGCCAGCCTGGGCAACATGGCAAGACCTCACCTCTACCAAAAAAAAAAGTTAGCCAGGGTTGGTGGTGCACGCCTGTAGTCCCAGCAACTCGGGAGGCTGAGGAGGGTGAGGCTGCAATAAGTCACCTCACTCCAGCCTAAGTGTCACAATGAGACTCCATCACAAAATAAATAAATAAATAAATAAATAGATGGCACAAAAAGGCTGGAGTAAAATAGAAAAAAAAGATTTCAAACCAGGTCACACATCTCTGAGTAGGGAACTGGTTAAACCCCAACAATCCCTTCCAACAACAGAACACTGCGCAATGGCTGAGGATGAGGGAGGTCTATGTGAAGAATGTGGACCAATTGCTAAGATGCGCTGTTGGGTGGTAAGGGCTAGTCAAAACAGTGCAAAAGCAGCCCTGGCACTTGTAAGGAGAAAGTTATCCAAACATGGAAAAATTTACTGAACAGTTCAGAAACACACCAACCATTACCAGCCACTATCTCTGGGGATGGGGCCACAGGGGAGCTCACCTGACACTTCTCTATTATGTAAAGTTATTTTTTTGGGGGGGCGGGGGGGTTTGTTTTACAATGAGCAGGTATAACTTTCGTAACGGAAATATGAAGAGGACAGCTTTGTTTGTTTTGTTTTGTTTGAGATGGGAAGTTTAGTTCTTGTCACCCAGGCTGGAGTACGATGGTGCCATCTTGGCTCACTGCAACCTCCACCTCCCGGGTTCAAGTGATTCTCCTACCTCAGCCTCCAGAGTACCTGGGATTACAGGCGCCCACCACCACACCCGGCTAATTTTTGTATTTTTAGTAGAGACGCGGCTTTACCACGTTGGCCAGGCTGGTCTCAAACTCCTGAGCTCAGGTGATCTGCCCACCTCAGCCTCCCAAAGTGCTGGAATCACAGGCGTGAGCCACCGCGCCCAGCCTGCTTTGTTTTTTAAGTGTTTTCTGCAAGCTGCAAATGGGCTGCGTGGCCGTAAGGCTGGACGAGAGCATCACACAGAAAGCCAAGTTCCTCTAGGGTCACAGCCAACATCTTAGATTTAACTCTTAGACTAGCAAGGAATATATATTTCTGCCAAAATTCCAGAAATGATTAACTAGATCACTTATGGGCAACTGGTGAGCCAAGATGTGGGCAAGATGTGTGTGGCTGCTTGAACCATCTGGTTGAGAAAGTAGTAGAGCCACTCGCTTGTCAGACTTGTTCAACAGTGAATTAGGTGAGGCCTCACATGCGTGTCAAAGGGAATAGTAACAGAAAAGTGAGATAGGCTATAGACACCAGAGAGCAGATCAGGACTGTGAGAGCAGATTGCAACAGCAGGCCAAAGTGAACTCTGCATTCTAGCCTCCAGGCGTCACTTTGGGAGTATACTGGAGGGTCTCATGAGAACTGCCTTTACCGGAAGCCACGCATTCATGGTAGAAAGGAAAGTACAAGCTGTTCTGCATCCTGATTGTGGTGGTTATTAACTGATGCTCTGCATATCAAAACACTCACAACTGTATGCCAGAAAGTTAATTTTACTATATGTCAACTTTTTAAAATGTCGACTGTAGAAATTAACCTGGAACATCCTAACTTCACACTAAGGCACACGGAGAGGACTACACTGAGCGTAACACATTCGTCTAGTAGCCTAGCTATCCCAAAGCCACAGGAGGGAGGTGACCATTCCACTGTCCTCTGGCATGGTCAGACAATACCCGTAGTGCCCAACCTGGAGTCGTCCTAGAAACAAGATCATGAAAGCAGAATGGAATCAGGAGAGCAAAGGACTTATTACTAAAAACCAGTCTGTGGGGAACCAGCACTGGCATACCTGCTACCACTATAACAGCTTCTGAGGCAGCAATCTGTTCTCAAAAAGTTGGCCCTTGAATGCAGCCCCCCAGATATCACAGAAATGGCAGCAAGCCTGACAGGGCCAGCACCTCCCTCCTAGTAGCTCCAGCCTTCACTCAAGGGTGCTAACAGCTCATTAACTTTCGCAGTAGCTCTGCCACTAACTCAAACTGAGTTGCAGTAAGCTCCAACCCCCAAGTCTTTGAGCTCCTGGGTAGCCCAGTCTTCCCTGCCCTTTATGAACCTACATGCATGCCTATAATAATGCCTCCCCATTGAAAACTCAAGTCTCATTAAAGGTGTTCTGATCAGGAAGCCCATCTAGATAGCTGAGGATGCTGAATGGTCACTAACCTTCTTGCTATTCCTCCTAGCATCCATTTCTCCCTACTTCTGCTCACCATGACAAACATCCTCGTGCAGATAAATACTGAGCAAGCCAGATGTAAAGAGTGAGCCCCCTGGCCAGGTGCGGTGGCTCACAACTGTAATCCCAGCACTCTGAGAGGCCGAGGCGGGCAGATCATGAGGTCAGGAGATCAAGACCATCTTGGCTAACACGGTGAAACCCCATCTCTACTAAAAATACAAAAAATTAGCTGGGCGTGGTGGCGGGTGCCTGTAGTCCCAGCTACTTGGGGGGCTGAGGCAGGAGAATGACATGAACCCGGGAGGTGGAGCTTGCAGTGAGCCAAAATGGAGTCACTGCACTCCAGCCTGGGCAACAGAGTGAGACTCCATCTCAAAAAAAGAGTGAGCCCCCTAAGGCTTCTACGTGGATGTGTTGATGGAGCCAATCCACAAGGCAGCCACTCATGTAGGTTAGGACCACACCTAACTACACTGTTCTGCCGGCACCTTCCCCACACTTTGGCATCTGGTCCTTAAGAACAGACTCAGACTGGCAAGCGTCATGCTAAAAATCCATCTACACTCCATCTATAGAAGGCTGACAGAACTTCTCCAGGAATTCACAGCAGTCACCAATGATTCCACTCTTCTTTTCCGAAAGCATACAAGCTATTCTTTCTAGAGCATGGTTGGAGATTAAAGTCAACCCTCCCCAGGTCAATTCCTCATCTACCTTCTCCCTTTGGAAATTGGGATGTTTGCCAGGCTGCAGTCTGCCAGTATCTCTCCCACTCTGCAAATCCTCAAGCATCGGTGGCAATTTCATCTGCAGATGATCTCAACAGCTTCTGGACATAATCTCATCAAGTCTAAGTGCAAAGTACATCATTTAGGGATGCTACTCTTGCCCACCTGTAATTTCCATTTTCTCATCCCAGTGTTTCCTTTGCCCTTGATCACCTACCCTCCATCTCCTTCCTTACACAGACATATAAAAGGGACTGCCTTCTCCCCACTTCTCCATATCTTTCATGATTCAGAGCTCCCGGCAGGTTTTTACCTTCCCAATACTATTCCTTTTTTTTGAGGCAGAGTCTCGCTCTGTTGCCCAGGCTGGAGTACAGTGGTGCGATATCGGCTCACTGCAACCTCTGCCTCCCGGATTCAAGCAATTCTCCTGCCTCAGCCTCCAGAGTAGCTGGGATTACAGGCACCTACCACCAAGCCTGGCTAATTTTTTTTTTTTTTTGTATTTTTAGTAGAGACAGAGTGTCACCATGTTGGCCAGGCTGGTCTCAAACTCCTGGCCTCAGGTGATCTGCCTGCCTCAGCCTCCCAAAGTGCTGGGATTACAGGCGTAAGTTACCATGCCCAGCCCACCCCCTCCCCCATACTATTCTTAAAGCTCTAGATGCTTTTCTGGTAGATGGCCTAGTTTCCTCTCTTTCCCTCCTCACTGTGGTCTTTTTTCCTCATTTTGCTGACTATCATACTCAGAATTCTGGTTTTGAGACTCAGTCTTCCAGAGCTGCTTCCCTTTCAGCCTCAGACCACAAGATAATATTTGTTTGGAACTTCCTGAAAAATCTAGGGTATGTGTCTCATTCCTCCCAGCCTTCTCATTTCCTGACTTTCCTAAGTTTGAAGATAACAAGCTTGTTGATCAAATCTGTGATCAAACCCATCATCTTGAAAAAATGTGTTTGCCTTTTCTACCTCCACCCCTCTTCCCAACTTGGTCGCAGAGAATACAAAATCATCTAAACGACAGACTTTAAGACAAGTCTAGTGCCTGGTAAAGCACGACACACCAGGTGACTAGAGAGCAAGAATCTCTTAGGCATGGAGATTCTTGAGTCTCGCAGCACAAAACCAAGTGGGGAATAACTGTCTGTGAGCCTGAGAATCACTTGGTGCTATTGTCTGAGTGCCCATCAAACTTCATGTGTTGGAATTTAATCCCCACTGCGGTAGCATTAAAAGGTGGGGCCTTTTGAGAAGTGATTAAGTCATGAGAGCTCCACCCTCAAAGCAAGCACCTTTCCAATGCCTTCATACACCCTTGGTCTGAGCTCCCATCCACCTCTCAGCCAGGCCCTGCTGATCAGAACGGCTGCGTGAAGCAGGAGGCAGCAAACAGGGCCCCAGGCTCAAATAGGCACTTCGTAGTTGTCTAGTTTTGCCCAACTAGTTACCCTTGGCCCTGATCAAGGCACTTAGTTTTACCAAAAACATCACCAGAAATACTCTGGCTGCCATGGAACGTAACATGCCCTCATGAGTTTCATGTGGGGAAGGCCCTGAGGTGAGGTGAGGAGAGGCCTAGCCTCCTCGTGTCACTTCTACCTGCTGTCCCTAGGTCAGCACCCCAAACACAAAGAGCCCCCCATTCAATTGCTCCCTTGTGAGTTGGACTCTGAAGGTCCTCTCCCAGAGGAGGGCAAGGCCTTACCCGTTACACCTCACTCTCCATGCAAACAGAGTATGAGACAGTAATCTGTTTGCCTCAGAGTATGTGGTGTGTGAGGGTCTTCTGATATTTCGAGCAGCCTTCTCCTATCCTCCACGCAGCCTCTGGAGGTCAGGAGAAAACTATGTGGCTTCCCTAACTCAGACAGGGCTTTGGGGTCCAGGCCACAGGCTTAGGAGGAATCAAAGTCACAGGGGGAGACTGAGCCCACTGAGCTCCGTGTCCCTGGCTAGCCCATGGCTCCTTTCACAGCACCTGCCCCCTCAAACCCCACTCACAAGGACAGCAGCAAGGAAAAGCCAGCAATGTAGAGATTCCTCTGGGCACGGAAAAGCTTCATGTGGAAGTGTTCCATGGCCCCAGGATTGTTCTGGAGGTTCACCTTTTCGGTCACATCATCATACTTCCGAATTTCGCGCACGGCATCTGTGGTGGAGCAGAGAGGAGACAGGCATTTAGCGGACGCTAGGGCAAGATAAGGCCATACCAGGCAGACAGGCGGCATGAAACAGGTCAGATTCACTTCCCTCAAATCGGCCTCCCCAGTTCTTCCCACTTCTACGCACACACACCCCTCATGGGATGCTGTTTGTCAGAAGCTCCCACCCTCAGGCCAGGCGCAGTGGCTCACACCTATAATCTCAGCACTTTGGGAGGCAGAGGCAGGCAGATCACCTGAGGTCAGGAGTCCGAGACAAGCCTGGCCAACATGGCAAAACCCCATCTCTACTAAAAATACAAAAAAAAAAAAATAGCCCAGCATGGTGGTGGGCGCCTGTAATCCCAGCTACTCGGGAGGCTGAGGCAAAAGAATCATTTGAACCCAGGAGGCAGAGGTTGCAGTGAGCCGAGATCACGCCATTGCATTCCAGCCCAGGGGACAACAGCGAAACTCCATCTCAAAAAAAAAAAGGAAGCTCCGATCCTCAGACCCACTCCTTCCTCCAGCTTTTCAACCCCTGGCCCCATTCTACACAGGCCCCCAAGCTTGCTCTGCAGTTCAAGATGCGAACCAAGCCTAAAGAGTTTCTGGAAATGGGGGTGGCTTCCTTTTCCCATGGTGCTCCCAACCACGTCTTGTTCTGCTCATCTCAAGTCGGCCCAGAGGTACCTCCCTGCCATGATAAGCCAGGTTGAACCTGGTGATGGAAATGCCTGCTCAGGGGATCTAAAGTGCTTAAGAGTCAAGACCCAGGCCAGATGTGGTGGTTCACGCCTATAATCCTAACACTTTGGGAGGCCAAGGCAGGAAGACTGCTTGAGGCCAAGAGTTCAAGACCAGCCTGGGCAACACAGGGAGACCATGTCTCTACAAAAAAAAATTTTTTTTTAAATAGCTGGGCATGGTGGTGCACACCTGCAGTCCCAACTACTCAGGAGGCTAAGACAGGAAGATCGCTTAAGCCCAAGAGGTCAAGGCTGCCATGAGTTATGATCACACCATTGCATTCCAGCCTGGGCGACAGAGCGAGACTCTGTCTCAAAAAAAACAAAACAAAACAAGCAAACAAACAAACAAACAAACAGGAGTCAAGACCTGCAGGATGCCAGCTAGCGGTCAAGGGTTTCATTTCAAAGCTTTACAACAGGTTTTATTATTTATAATGTTTTATTCTGGTTACAAAAGGAATTCACACTCATGGAAAGTTCAAACACACCCAAAATGTAGAAGGGGAAAGGATCCCATAACATAATCACCTCCAGCAATATACACAATAAAAATGTGGCCACCTCATCTAAAGTCATTTTTAGTCACATTACCCTATGTTACCTGCTTCGTAATAGACACCCATCTCTGAAATTATCTTAAACACATTTTTGGGGTCCATCTCTCCCAAACTAGACTACAAACTTCATAAAAGCAGAAATCTTTTATACTATATCCCCAGGGCCTGGGATAGTTTTGGGTGCAGAGTGGGCACTGAAATAATTGCTGAGTCAGTGAGCAGCCTCTGCTCCTGAAAGAGCCGCTGTTACACATAGAGCTCCAGTTAAAAACATATTTACATTTGTCTCTAATGTAGAAATTGAGCCACACCAAACCTGCTTTTCCCCATGCATCCTGAGACATCGTTTTAACTCAATACACTAAGATCTACCTAAAGAATGCTCTTAATAACTCCCATATGAGAGAGGCACTGTATGGGTATCAAGGTTTTTTTAGGGTGGGTTACAGGGTATCACTCTGTCACCCAGGCTGGAGTGCAATGGCATGATCCCGGCTCACTGCAACCTCCACCTCTCAGCCTCCCCAGTAGCTGGGACCACAAGTGTGTGCTACCACACTTAGTTAATCTTTTCTTTTTCTATTTTTGGTAGAGACAGGGTTTCGCCAAGTTGCCCAGGCTGGTTTCAAACTCCTGAGCTCAAGCAACTGCCTGGCCTCACGAAGTGTGGGGATTACAGGTGTGAGTCAGGGCACCGGTCTCATGGGGTTCTTAATTTCTGGTTTTAGGTTGCTTGGTTTTTATGTTGATCTTGCATTATAAAAATCTGCCCATCCCTCGGTACCATGAAGCAAGTACTCTCAAACGCTGTTAGCAGGGGTAAAGACAGCACACCTGTATAAAATGCAAAATGTTCATACCCTTGGGTTCAACAATCCACCTCTGAATTTATCCCACAGAAGTATTTGCATAAATTTGCAATGATTCGAGGATGCTTATAAAGAATGAATTATAGCACAACCACATGAGAGAATGCTACATGATCTTTTTTTTTTTTTTTTTTTTGAGACAAGAGTCTCGCTCTGTCGCCCAGGCTGGAGTGCAGTGGCCGGATCTCAGCTCACTGCAAGCTCCGCCTCCCGGGTTTATGCCATTCTCCTGCCTCAGCCTCCCGAGTAGCTGGGAATACAGGCACCCGCCACCTCGCCCAGCTAGTTTTTTGTATTTTTTAGTAGAGACGGGGTTTCACCGGGTTAGCCAGGATGGTCTCGATCTCCTGACCTCGTGATCCGCCCGTCTCGGCCTCCCAAAGTGCTGGGATTACAGGTTTGAGCCACTGCGCCCGGCCTACATGATCTTTAAGAACAATGAGATTGCCGGGCGCGGTGGCTCAAGCCTGTAATCCCAGCACTTTGGGAGGCCGAGACGGGCGGATCACGAGGTCAGGAGATCGAGACCATCCTGGCTAACACGGTGAAACCCCGTCTCTACTAAAAAAAAATACAAAAAATTAGCCGGGCGTGGTGGCGGGCGCCTGTAGTCCCAGCTACTCGGGAGGCTGAGGCAGGAGAATGGCGTGAACCCGGGAGGCGGAGCTTGCAGTGAGCTGAGATCCGGCCACTGCACTCCAGCCCAGGCGACAGAGCGAGACTCCGTCTCAAAAAAAAAAAAAAAAAAGAAGAATGAGATTGCTATAAAAAGATGTCAGCCAGGCACAGTGGCTCACATCTGTCATCCCAACACTTTGGGAAGCCGAGGTGGGGCAGATCCACTTGAGGCCAGGAGTTCAAGACCACTCTGGCCAACATGGTGAAATCTCATCTCCACTAAAAATAACAAAAAATTAGCTGGGCATGGCGGCAGGCGCCTGTAATCCGCAGCTACTCGGAAGCTGAGGCAGGAGAATCACTTGAACCTGGGAGGTGGAGGTTGCAGTGAGATAAGATGGCGCCACTGCACTCCAGTCTGGGCGAGAGTGACTCCATCTCAAAAAAAAAAAAATGTTTAAGGTGCAGTAAGTAGAAAAAGCACAATCCAAAGTATTGGCTGGGCTCTGCTATGGACAGCAGTCTTGTCTCAGAGCTGTGCTGCCTGCTTAGGTATGGAATGCTCCTCCTGCCATGTCCCAGCAGGAATGTGGAAGGAAACATAAATACTTTGTGAGTATGATCCCACTGCTGTAGACATTTTATTAAAGATGTCAGTATGTGGAAATGCACAACAAAATATTCATGATGGTTACCTGTGGGACATGGGATTATGGGGAGTTTAACTTTCTTTTTTATTTATTTATTTATTTATTTATTTATTTATTTTTTGAGATGGAGTCTCGCTCTGTTGCCCAGGCTGGAGTGCAGTGGCACAATCTCGGCTCACTGCAAGCTCTGCTTCCCGGGTTCATGCCATTCTCCTGCCTGTCTCCTGAGTAGCTGAGACTACAGGAGCTCGCCACAGCGCCGGCTAATTTTTTTTTGTATTTTTAGTGGAGAAGGGGTTTCACCGTGTTAGCCAGGATGGTCTCGATCTCCTGACCTCGTGATCCGCCCACCTTGGCCTCCCAAAGTGCTGGGATTACAGGTGTGAGCCACCGTGCCCAGCCAGGAGATTAACTTTCTCAATTCAATTTTTGAGTTTTTAAGATTACCCATTTTTTTTGTAATCAGAAAAACAAGATAAACATGTTTCCTTACACTGTCACCTGCATCCAGGAATCCCACCATCCTAAGGACCACCTTGGCCAATGACCATGAGTGGGGATGGGAGACTGAGCAACACTAACCCAAGTCCCACAGTAGAACCCGGCCCTTCCTATCTCGGGTCTCAGCCCAGGTGGGAAGATCCTGCACCCTCAGCAACTCCACCCTCCAGACGGATCTTCTCAACCCTCCCCGCCCCCAGGCAAGGCCACAGCTCTAGCTAGTTATGCCCGTTACCCTTCACTAGTACCTGTGACTAACACTTCTATTTGAAGAAGGCTCTGCAGATCTTTCTAGATTATGCTTAACATGAGAGTAGGAAGTAACCAGCCATCATGGCCATATGTCCCTCTAGAACTTCCAAGCAGTTCCCTGATCCCAAAAAAGAATGAAGGCTTTGTCAACTACCGGATTCCGCAAAGGATCTCTCAGCCCACTCAGCTGCTCTAGGAAAGAAACATACTCCTTCTGGTTTGGGGAAGGGGCAAGGCCCTGAGGGAATCATCCTCAGCGTGGTCCCTCCCTTCCCCAGTTCTTATCCCCACCCCAGACCCAAAAGCCAAAACACACATGCTCAGTTCAAAAACTCAGTAGCCTGGGGACAACACATACATTCCCTACCTACTCCTGGCTTGGAGGATGCTCAAGGAGAGAACCCTGGTTAGAAAGAGCTACCTCTTGGGGCCTTGCCAAGTATTTCAAGAACACTGAGGTACTCGGGCAGCTGGCACCTACCCTATGTGGTTGGAAGCTGTCAGGTCACACTTGGCCTGTTCAGAGGCAGTCCTGCCTGAACATATCCTATCAGGCTCTGAGACAGCAGGAAGGAGAAATGCCTAATGCTGAAGCTGGTGGGTGAGGCTTTGCACATTCCCCTGAACCACAGCCCCTCACCCGCTCAGCGTTTCTGCTGGGACTCGGTGGGAGGAGTGTTCCACACCTAGGCAGGCACCACAGCTCTGAGACAAAAGAGTGGTGTCCACAGCAGAGCCAAGCCAATATTTTGGAACCCTAACAGGGGAACATATCGATCACTTACCACAGCAAAACAACAAACATCTAACAGTCAGACAAGAGCTTTATTGATTCTTGTCTCCAGATGGTCACCCCACCACCTCATTGCAAAATGTCTGCCTTTCATCTTAACACCACCTGGCCTGGCCTTATCCCTGAGCTTGCTTGCCCTTAGACCAGTTTATCTTTCAAGCACCTGCTGGTATGCACCTCAATGTCAGAGTTTACAGAACTACAGAGCTGGAAGGACCTGGGAAAACCTCAAGTCTAGCCCAGATGCAGAGAGGTCTAGGATTTCTCCCCAAGATATGCTGCCACACATTTCTGTGTCCTCCTCCTCCTACTACAGGGAACAGCAGGACTTCCCAGCTAGGCTCACTGTGTGCTTAGTTGCTCAGTCCCCCATTAAAGGTCCTGCTCCAGGCAACTCTGTTTAAGTGACTGGTGAGCAGCACTACTCAGACCAAGGTCACAGGCCAGTTAGCTTCCCTTAGCTTCAGTTCTAGAGTGACCTAAGGAGCAGCCTCAGAAACCTAAGGCGTCCCTTCTCCCAAGGTCTTGAAAAAAAGCAATGTAAGGTGGCCATCATAAGGCTGCACACAAACTGCTTTGGTATAAGCCCACGCCCACTGCTAGAGAGGCCTCTTTTTTTTTTGAGATGGAGTTTCGCTCTTGTTGCCCAGGCTGGAGTGCAATGGAGCGATTTAGGCTCACTGCAAACTCTGCCTCCTGGGTTCAAGCGATTCTCCTGCCTGAGTCTCCCAAGTAGCTGGGATTACAGGCTCCCGCCACCATGCCCAAATAATTTTGTATTTTTCGTAGAGATGGGGTTTCACCACGTTGGCCAGGATGATCTTGAACTCCTCATCTCAAGTGATCCACCCACCTCAGCCTCCCAAAGTGCTGGGATTACAGGCATGAGCCACCATGCCCGGCCTAGAGGGGCCTCAAAGTGAAGAACCGACTAGAGGTCAGCAGCATAGGCAAAGGGAGCCTCTTCCTTCCCACAAGAGAAAGACACAGCATTTCATTGGTCTATCTCCCAGCAGCCAAAACTGGATGCTACACATCAAAAGCAGCAAAGGGTTTTGCATCAGAGACCGGGGTCTAGGTCATGTAGCTGCCCTCAGCCACAGCTCACTCACCGATGACCAACAGCACAAGGATGACAATGAGAACCACAAAGAAGGTGTTGCCATAGGACACTACCAACTCCACCAGCCGGGACTTGAAAATCTTCTGCCATCTGTGAAGACGACAAAAAGGACGGGAGCTGAAGAGAAAGCACACACACGGGCTCTAGGGCCCTGAGCAAAATGGAAATCCAGCTTTGCACTCTTCTCCAATGGCCGAATAGCCCACACAAAGTCAGCCTCAGTGGCTTGCAATTCTCTAATTTGATATCCATTCAAGAGTGTTGGAAAAAAGGCCAGGTGCAGTGGCTCACACCTGTAATCACAGCACTTTGGGAGACCAAGGTGGGTGGATCACGAGGTCAGGAGTGCAAGACCAACCTGGCCAACATGGCGAAAACCCCGTCTCTACAAATAAAGTACAAAAATTAGCCAGGCATGGTGGTGGGTGCCTGTAATCCCAGCTACTCAGGAGGCTGAAACAGGAGAATCACTTGAACCTGGGAAGCAGAAGTTGCAGTGAGCTGAGATCGCGCCACTGCACTCAAGTCTGGGCGACAGAGCGAGACCCTGTCTCAAAAAAAAAAAGGTGCTGGTCCACGTAGAGATCGAAATGTCTAGAAAACTAATCTTTTTTTTATTTTGAGAGAGTCTCGCTCTGTCACCCAGGCTAGAGTGCAGTGGCATGATCTCGGCTCACTGCAAGCTCCGCCTCCCGGGTTCACGCCATTCTCCTGCCTCAGCCTCCCGAGTAGCTGGGACTACAGGCGCCCGCCACCACGCCCGGCTAATTTTTTGTATTTTTTATTAGAGACGGGGTTTCACCGTGTTAGCCACAATGGTCTCGATCTCCTGACCTCGTGATCCGCCTGCCTCAGCCTCCCAAAGTGCTGGGATTACAGGCGTGAGCCACCGCGCCTGGCCTGGAAAACTAATCTTAAACACGGGTAGTTGGCTGGGAACAGTGGCTCACGTCTGGAAACCCCATCTCTACAAAAAAAAAAAATATATATATATACACACACACACACACACACACACATAAAAAAAATTAGCTGCGCATGGTGGCAGGCGCCTGTAGTCCCAGCTACTCAGGAGGCTGAGGCAGGAGAATCACTTGAACCCAGTAGGTGGAGGTTGCTGTCAGCCGAGACCACACCACTGCACTCCAGCCTGGGTGACAGAGCAAGACTGTCTCAAAATTTAAAAAAAAAAAAAAAAACAAAGAAACCACAGCAACAAAAAGAAAACACACTGATAGTCTCTGAAAAGGGAAACTTACTTTTCATTGTTCTCCCCTTTGTAATATTCAAAATGTCTGCCCCATACACATGTTATTTCTTTAAACTGTCTTTCCACATGATAAACCTTGGTTTGCCTATATCCCCCCCCACCCTGGGTTATGATGAGATGGACCCTAGACCTCACATCATTTCCCTCCACAAATGCTTTGGGATGCAGCTCTAAGAAGAGACTTCAGAAGTGTTTACATATTGTTCAAACCAACAAGAAGCCCTCATCATCAGGGCTAGAGATGAAAATGCCAATCACGGTAGGCAACAGTATTTGTTTGAATCTGGACCCAGCAAGGTACCGATTTGGCATTTGGTAGATAAATGTCTTAAATCCCTCTTCTTATGGAAGCTCCCCCTTCCCTCCCCTCTTTCATTTGCTTTTCCAATTTGCTTTGTGTAGAAATCAGATTGTCTGTCCTCTAAAGCTTCCCAGATTAAAGCTCCCCGGGGTCCTCTATCTCTGCATGTCTTGTCAACTGTACGAAGGTTTGGTTTTCTGCAAGAATCCTCCTCAGGCAGCGCTGCATACTTTCTGTGGTATCACATCAGGGATAATTTTTCATGAAAAAACAGTTTTTAAAAATACCTGTGGAGATTTGGCCTTATTTGTAATATGTGAATTTAAATAGGGACGTGTTCAGGTATTATACATAATTAACAATTAACTTCCAATTCACTTTTAACAGGTTCTCTGTTCATTAAAAGGGAATATGGCTTCATCCTCCACAGGCTGAGTAATGTTCATGCAGCCACTGCGCAATGCCAGTGAGACTAGTTAGGACAAGAGTCACCAAATCAGCAACAACATGACCCAGTGGTGCAAGTCTTCCGAATCCCACGCTGCCATCCCAAGACCCCGCGGGCCAAGAGTAGGCGGGAGGGCATCATTTCCAGAACTGTAACATGGATCTTCCTGCCTCTCGCGGGCATTCTGAAGACCAGAAGGCAGGGGACACAGGAAAAGGAACTGAGCAAGTCATGACGAAGCAGAACCCTGGGGAGGGTTGGCAATAACAAACACAACCCCTGCCACCCCCACCCCTGACAGGTTCTACCTGTTCCATCGGGTTCCAATTCCAGGGTCCACCAGCTGCACACACCAGTCCCAGGGCTAGGGCACAGGGACCCTCCCGCCTAACTCGCCTGCTTGCTCCACAAGCCATACCTTTTAGGAGAAATGAAGGGAATGCAGAGAAGCAACACAACAAAGACCTCCGCATAGAGGAAGGTGGCAACTGCAGTCCACTGCAGACTCATCCTGCTGCTAGAAGGTTTCCCACAGGGAGATGTGAGCTTGTTTCCTGGCAGGGCACAGAAGGAACAGGATTTGTAAGCGCTGGGCAGCCAAGAACATCCAGTTCAGTTACCCTGCGAGGCTGGGGCCGCCACTCTCCACTCGACCCCCTGCACTTTGCTTCACAGTCTCTGACGCGCTGGCGGAAGCAGGGCTCCACTAGGCAAGGCCGCTTGGCCAGCAGCGTTCACAGGCCCCACAAACTTCCGTTCGCTGGTCAGTTACCCGCCCCCCTCCAGCACGTGTGTCAACACGTCCAGAGCGGCCTCTCCCGACGATCCCTGTCCCAGGGAGCCCGAGATTTCCGACGCCCATTTAACTGAAAGGCGTTCTTCGGGAAGAGCAGTGCCAGAGCGCCAAGAGGAGGACGCCTCGGCACCCATTGGACGCTCCCTTCCCCGCCAGGCAGAACTCAGCCGCAGAGGCGGGCGCTCTGTTGGCCCAAATCCCCGCTACCAGGCGGGCCCAAGGCCGCATCTAGTCCAAGCGCTGCCGACGCCCCCGCCTCCCACCGTCCCCACGGCGCCCGCGGAGAGAAACCGGCACCTCCCTCGAGGCTCAAGCGGCCTTCCGCCCGGGGCCGCTTCGCCTCCGGTGGGCTGGAGGCCCGCAAGAGCGACTCCTAGAGAGCAGAATTCGGGACCAAGCGCAAAAGCAGGTCTAGACCAAGCACCTCAAGGCCCCATACGGGGAAAGTTCTAGACGCAGTCTCCTCAAAGCCAGGGGTCCTTCCAGTAGCCCTCGAGGGCCATAGCGCCCACCCAGAGCGAGAGCCGACTGCGCGCACCGTGGGCCCCGCCGACATGACCCCGGCCTGGCACACCGTCCCGGAGGCCCAGCAAGGCCGCTCCTCCAGGTGGGGCTTCACCGCCCCCCACCCCGCCCCCGAGCCCAGCTTCTAGAGGCACCGCCCGTTTTCCCCTCTCCCCTGCCCCTCACACCCAGGTAGGCTGCGGGCCCCGAGATTCCCCGGCCCCCGGGCCTCCCCGCGCCGCTCGCCTCTCTCCCTCGTCAAGGGGCCAGGGAGCCTCGGCGGTCCCGGAGCTCAGCCTGGCGCGCGGAGCCCGCTCACCGAGTTTCCCACAGTCAGCGTGCAGGCCCCGCCGCAGCAGCCGAACTCTCCCACAGCAGCCCCGGCCCCGCCCCTCATCCCGCGGCCGGAAACCGGAAGCGCCCGCCGGGCACCGCCCACTAGCCCTCGCGAGGCCCCGGAGGCTCCGCCCACCGCCGCTTCCCGCCCCGCCCCCGAGCGGAGGGCCGACGCCCCGAGCGCGAGAGGAAGCGGCGCCTGGGGCTCCGGGCGCGCGGGGAGGGGTGGAGCGAGCACGCGGGCGGGGCGGGGCTTTGGCGGGCCTACGAGGGCCGCTTATCTAGTCCGCGAGGCCGTCCCACGTCTCTGTGGTGCGGAGAGGCCCTGCCGAGGGGCGAGAACGGGGTTGGTGGGGGAGGGGCCTCGCCGAGGGGCGAGAACAGGGTGGGGCTCCCGCGCCCGGACTCCGCCCTTCGCCCCTCCTCCGCCTCCTCCCCTTCCCCCGACTCGCCCCTGGGGAGGGGTGGGTGGGGATTCTGGGCCGGTGGCGGAGTCACTGTCGCTTCAGCCAGGCTGCGGAGCGGACGGACGCGCCTGGTGCCCCGGGGAGGGGCGCCACCAGGGGAGGAGGAGGAGGAGAAGAAGGTGGAGAGGAAGAGACGCCCCCTCTGCCCGAAATCCTTCCAGGCCCTGACCTCAGGAGCCAGGGCACTGACAGGACAGGAGAGCCAAGTTTCTCCACTTGGGCTGCCCGAAGAGGCCGCGACCCTGGAGGGCCCTGAGCCCACCGCACCAGGGGCCCCAGCAGCACCCCGGGGGCCTAAAGCGACAGTCTCAAGGGCCATCGCAAGGTTTCCAGTTGCCTAGACAACAGGCCCGGGGTCAGAACAACAACCCTTCCAGCCACCTGCCTCAACTGCTGCCCCAGGCACCAGCCCCAGTCCCTGCGCGCCAGCCAGCCCAGGTGACATGCCGGTGCTCTCCAGGCCCCGGCCCTGGCGGGGGAGCACGCTGAAGCGCACGGCCGTGCTCCTGGCCCTCGCGGCCTATGGAGTCCACAAAGTCTACCCCTTGGTGCGCCAGTGCCTGGCCCCGGCCAGGGGTTCTCAGGCGCCCGCCAGGGAGCCCACGCAGGAGTCCTCCGGGGCCGCGGCGGCCAAGGCCGGCATGAACCGGGTATTCCTGCAGCGGCTTATGTGGCTCCTGCGGCTGCTGTTCCCCCGGGTCCTGTGCCGGGAGACTGGGCTGCTGGCCTTGCACTCGGCCGCCCTGGTGAGCCGCACCTTCCTGTCGGTGTATGTGGCCCGCCTGGACGGAAGGCTGGCCCGCTGCATCGTGCGCAAGGACCCGCGGGCCTTTGGCTGGCAGCTGCTGCAATGGCTCCTCATCGCCCTCCCTGCTACCTTCGTCAACAGTGCCATCCGCTACCTGGAGGGCCAGCTGGCCCTGTCGTTCCGCAGCCGTCTGGTGGCCCACGCCTACCGCCTCTACTTCTCCCAGCAGACCTACTACCGGGTCAGCAACATGGACGGGCGGCTTCGCAACCCTGACCAGTCTCTGACAGAGGACGTGGTGGCCTTTGCGGCCTCTGTGGCCCACCTCTACTCCAACCTGACCAAGCCACTCCTGGACGTGGCCGTGACTTCCTACACCCTGCTTCAGGCGGCCCGCTCCCGTGGGGCCGGCACAGCCTGGCCCTCAGCCATCGCTGGCCTCGTGGTATTCCTCACGGCCAACGTGCTGCGGGCCTTCTCACCCAAGTTTGGGGAGCTGGTGGCAGAGGAGGCGCGGCGGAAGGGGGAGCTGCGCTACATGCACTCGCGCGTGGTGGCCAACTCGGAGGAGATCGCCTTCTATGGGGGCCACGAGGTGGGGCAGGTTGGGACGCTGGGCACGGAGGGAAGCGTGTGGCAGGGAGGCCCAGGGGCAGGCAGCCGTGAGCAGTGGGGACAGTCCAGGGCGGGCTGGGGCTGATGCCAAAGGTGTGGGCAGGCCATGGGAGAGCAGGGCTGGGGTGGGCAGGGCCTTGGGCAGCCGTGGACTCAGGTGCAGCAGTGGAGAGGCAGGAAGGCTGGGTGGGGACTGTCCTGTGCTGGTTGCCTGCACGCTCCTGGCCACTTCTGCTTCCTCTCCTCCTCAAGGAGGTTGTCCCAGCCTTAGAGCTGCGATCCTAGCAGTTTGAGCCTTGAGAGGAGATGCCTGCCATTCGGGAGCGGGGACCAAGGGACGTGACCTGCTGCCTAGCCCCTCCTGGGCCCTTGGGCCCTTTGAAGCCCGGCGTCCAGCAGAGCTGGCTGGCCAAGCAGGCAGGCATTATGGGCATGACTCAGCCCAAGCAAGGTTAATGAGCAGTGCCCAGCGCAGCAGTGGGACTTGGGGTCAAGGCCACCCCCGCCTGAGCCCACAGGCTTGCCCAGCTACCAACTGGCTCAGCTGCCTTCCCGGGCCCCGAGACCAGAGATGCCGGGTCCAGGCTGCCACTGCGGCGGGACACACTTCCTGCTCCTGGCGTGGCCGCCCTTCCGCCCCGTCTGTCTCCTAGTTCCCTGGTGGGCCGGGGCGGGGCGGGCCAGGCAGGCGCTGGGAAAGGTTACTCCAGGTTAATGCTCCCTTTATCTCGCCTCAGCCCCTCCCCTTCCTCGTGCCTGGGGTTGCAGTTGCCTTGGGCCCTGCTCTCTGCGACTCAGTTTCCGTTCCCCAGTGCTTCTTGGGAGGAGGGGCACAATGGCATCCATCCCCCAAAGGCCTGTGTGTGCTCCCTGGGTCAGGTAGCCTCTTGCCCTGGGACCTTGTCTCACTGTGCACCAGCAGAGAAGCAGGCTTGTCCTCGAACTCCACAGAGAGGGGCATCCCGGGTGTGGGCCAGACTGCAGATTCAGAGAAAAGGCCCCTGGACTTCAGCCACCACTCCAGCTTCCCTCTCCTCTTTACCCGCATGCTGGGCTGCAGGGCCTTGGCAAGCAGCCGCAGCCTTGGGCGAGGCGCTTGGCACATTCCCCACAGCTACATTGTCAGCCTTGGCTGGCACCCCTGCCAGCTCCCAGCACGAGTCTGGATTGCCGGGGTGCTTGCTTCAGGAATGGGAGATCGGGCTTGCAGGGAGCTGAGCTGTGCAGGCCGACCTGGGTGGCGGGGGCAGAAGAGAGATCACTGGTTCTTTGAAGGCCTTCGTCCAGGCTAACTTCAGGAAGTAGATTACTGGTTCTTTGAAGGACTCCATCCGGGCTAGCTTCAGGAAGTAGCGCGTTGGCCAAGAGGGTTTGTTGGCCAGGGCAGGAGGGCCCGGTGTGCATTCACGGCCTGTTTGCATAGGCCTCGGCTGGAAAGCTGTGTGGGATAGGAAAGCTGTGTGATAGGACCCCTCGGGTGGCATGTGGCCCGTGGCGGTCCCACTGGCTGATGTCCCCGTGGACACTGGCCTAGGCTCAGATCAGGGCAGAAGCAGCTGACTGGCTGGAGGGCACACAGCAGAGTATTCTGTCCTTCCTGGGATTGCCACGAGGAGGCTTATTGAAATACACATGCACATGATCTCTTGCTTGAGAACAAAGTAAAGCTCTCTTGATAAGTCTAAGCATCATTTACAAGAAAGTGGTTCTCCTGGCAGCTCTGCCAGTGTGGTTCAAATTCCCACACTGGTTGCCACCGTCAGGCTGTGTGGACTTGGGCAGGTCACTTTGCCTCCCTGGGCTTCAGTGTTCTGTGTACAATGGGCACGTGAATACACATGCAATGGGACGTGGTGAGAATCAGATGCAGAGACATGAAAGCACTTGGCAAACAGTGCCAAGCTGGGCAGCTGTCATCAGATGGCTATGGGGAGGCAAGGCTGGGGCACGTGCCCCTGGACTGAGCCCAGAAATTCACAACCCCTTGGCTACCTTGCTGGGAGCACTTCCCGACACCTCCCACCTCCCCCACCTATCTGACTGCTGCTGCCACCTCTTCTCTGCAGATGTCCCTTTCCCCACCTGCTGGTGTCCTGACATAGTGGTGGCCAGTGCAAGAAGGGGAACAGAAGGACAGGGGAGGCCTACCCACTGCTGAAGGAGCGAGGTCCAGGCTCAGCAGTGGGGACATCCACTGGGGCGAGTCCTGTAGGGCCCAGCTCAGCAGCACATCCGTGCAAATTTCTCACCAAAAGGAACTGTGGGAAAGTTGAGGGGAGAGGGGGCCTAAATAGGCCAAGACTGTTGAACTGAGTTTTTCAGAACCAAGAGACAGGGTCTCACTGTGCTGTCCAGGCTGGGGTGCAGTGGTGCCATCACTGCAGCTTCAAACTCCAGAGCTCCAGCAATCCTCCCACCTCAGCCTCGCGAGTAGCTGGGACTACACGTGTGTGCCACCACGCCTGGCTAATTTTTTTTTTTTTTAATTATTTTTGGTAGAGACAGCATCTCGCCATATTGGCCAGGCTGGTCTCCAACTCCTGGGCTCAGACAATTAGCCTCTCAAAGTGCTGGGATTGCAGGTGTGAGCTACTGCACTCAGCCCAAGAGACACTGCCTTTTGCTGTCCTGCGCTGCTCTTTGCTTAGTTTAGTGGGGGAAAAATTAGAGCTGATGGGTGATCTCTCTGGATCAGGAGGAGGGGCTAGCAGGGAGCCCAAAGAAATGGGCTCAGCAGAGGACAGAAACAAGGTGACTAGAGAGGGAGTGGAGAGGGGACGGCAGCCGCACTGTGACATCAGCCAGTCCCTTATATCCTGTCACACCTTGAGTTTGAGACCTGGCCCCACCCAATCGTAACCTCTGGCTCTCAGCCTTCTGATGGCCACCATGGCACAGCGTGTGTGAGTGGCACTCGAAGACTCTGACCATTGCCCCCATGGGAGCTGCCACTGTGCATGGCCATGAAGCCTGTCTGTTTCTGTCACCCCCTCAGGTGGAGCTGGCGCTGCTACAGCACTCCTACCAGGACCTGGCCTCGCAGATCAACCTCATCCTTCTGGAACGCCTGTGGTATGTCATGCTGGAGCAGTTCCTCATGAAGTATGTGTGGAGCGCCTCAGGCCTGCTCATGGTGGCTGTCCCCATCATCACCGCCACTGGTTACTCAGAGACAGGTGAGACCCAGGGCTCTAAGAGGATCCAGGCCAGGGGCCTGTCCCCCATACCGCTGGCTGCTGGGCTCATGAGGGCCCAGCTCAGCCAGCCCGCCTCCCACTTCTGCTGCCGGGGCTGCCGAAGCCCTGCTGCCACCCTTGATGCTCTCAGAGGTTGGGCTTGCCTTGCCCCTCCTTGTTGCCTTTTGCCCTGCGCTCACCTCACGTCCTTTGGTACCACTCAGCCAAGCCCAGGACTGTAAGTCAAGAACACAACATACCACTTCTCCAGGCACAGATACCCTCACCCACCTGTCCCTGTCCTCAACCCAACTGTGACTTAGAGGTGGGAGGATGTGCGGAGTACCTCGAGTGAGCCCCTTTATCACTCCAGCCT